CCCCCTTTCTCCCCCTTTCCCATCTCTATGTCCCCTCTCTTTCTCCCCCCTCCCCATCTCTCCCCTCTCTTTTCTTTCTCCTTCCTCCCTATCTCTCCTCTCCCTCTATCTTCCCCTTTTCTCCCTCTTTCTCCCCCTCCCATTTCTCTTTTCCCTCTCTCTTCCATTCTGTTCTCTCTATCTTCTCCCTCTTCACTTTCTGTTCTCCCATCTTCCCCTCTCCATCTTCTGTTCCTCCCATTCTCTCTGCCTCTCCCTATCTCCATCTCTGTTCCCTCTCTCTCTCATCTCTGTTCTCTATCTTCCCCATCTTTTCTCTCTCTCTATCTTTTCTCTATCTTTTCTCTCCTATCTCCCATCTTTCTCTATCTTTTCTCCCCTCCCCTACCTCTATTCTCTCTACTGTTGCTGGTTGCTGATGCCGACGGGTGGTAGTTTGCCGTCCGCGCATTCCTCTGACTAACACTGAAGGAGGAGGAAGATGCCTGTCATGCCCTTGCGGTTCCCACATCCTGTGCTGGGAATTGTGGGAACCGCAAAGGAGCCTGACAGACACATGCTCCTCCTCCTCCTTCAGTGTTATTGAGAGGAATGCCGCCGGACCGGCGAGGCTGCTACCCGGTCCGGCGGCTCCAGCATCAAACGGCCGGCCCCCTTCACAGTGTGCCTCCGGACCGGCCACCCGGTGGCACCTGCAGTCCCCAAATGCCGCCCCCAATCCAGCCCTGCCGCCGGGCCCCCTGAAGGCCCGTGTCCGAAGTGCCCGACCGGTCAGTCCGCCCCTGGCTCTGTCGCCACTCCTCCTTTGGACTGGTGGGGGATATCCCGTTCCCCACTGAGGCTTACAAATTTTGAGGCAGAATTTCCTGGACGTATGCCTTGACAACGACGTGGCGAGTCCAGTATGGCTGGCGTATTGGAACAACAGCTCAACCGAGCAGGTCTTGTGGACCAAGAGTGGAGGAAATCATTTAGATTTAAACTCTCCGACAGGAGTTCTGGCATAGAATCACCAACCGACACAAGATACCTACCCCTCCTGCTACCCCGCAGTCTAAAACAGCCGATTAACACCATATGTTCCTCCTTCGGGACGACATCCAGGCAGCCATCCATACACCCATGGGGGTACCCGAGTATTGGGGACCCTGCTGGCACAAGATTTTGCCACTAGGAGATGGAGGGTGTATGGACATGGGGCACTGGCCCCTTTCAAGGCCCAGAGCTGTGATATCGAGGATACATGGCTGGGTGGATTAACTCACCTTTTGCAGCGCGATACCCGTGTGATAGAGGGGAAGACCAACATTCCTGGCGAGGAAATGTACTCTTGGTTGTAGCCTATCTGCGGCATAGGGTGACTGAATTTGGAGGCATTCTGACACAAAGAGTTTTATTCACCTGCTTCTAATGCAGAGAGCTCACGCTCCAAATCTGTGTCTATCTTTGTCATTAGCCTCCAGTTAATATTGTTATGTCTTTCTCGTAAACCTAGCGGCCTTATAATCACTGATATTCTAGTAAAAGCTGTGTTTATCATTTTTATATCTTACTCGACTAACAATCTCCGAGTCTAGTATATTTCTTGCTCATATTAGTTTAGCATGGTTTTTACTGATCTACACACCTAGACTAATATTTTATGCCTAACAGAATAGTCCTGACTTATACTTAGACGTGTTTGTCCAGCCGGTTTATTGTGAAAAAGAAACCGACGAGCCCAGGAGTACATCGTTGAAGCAATATTGATATGTGTGTCTCCACTATAACTCCCTTTACTGTATTTTCCATATCAAAACTTCAATAAAAGAAAGATTGCCAAATTTGAATATTATTTATTAAATTTAGAATCTCCTTGCCTCAAATTTGATTTGAAGTTTGGATATTTACTAAATGCAATTTAAGTGCAAATTCAGAGATTTTTAATTCCTTTCTGCTGAGAAAAATAATATAATCAAGAGGTCATAATTGTACAGAAATTCACAATTCCTACATTTATCAAAAGACAAAATCACAGACAAATGTACAAATGTTTTCCAGTTCTCAACGATCCCCCAATCCTTTCATCAATGAGTTGCAGGTGAGGGGTTAACAATTACAGCCCTATTTAGTAAAGTGAGAATTGAAAGTGAATTTCAAATTTAAGGCCGAACTAGACACATAGACTCTAAAAACGTCTTAATCTGTTTCTTGATAAACGTTTTTCACCATGGATATGATTCGTGTGCATCAGAAAATTTATATTTTTAGACAAACTACAGTTTTTTTTTAATGTTTCAATATTTATTGAGGTTTTAAAGAATGCACAAACATTACATTTACATTAAACGTGTGCAAATTCACCCAGTTGTTCATAGCAGAAATAAAAGTGATAATGAAAAAGTACATGAAGTAAAATGAATGAATGAATGCTGGGTCTTCCCACTCCTGGAGGACACTGGCCAGTCACAATATTTTTGTGTTATAATTGAACTGTTACACTCATGACTTCCCCTCGAAACCATTTCAGTATTTCATCAATATTAACATATGTAACCCCTAGTAATGGTTTCCCAAGTGAAGTATTAAGAGGGTTGACTTGTGTAGTGTTTAGGACTTCCATAGAACACACACATTTTCATATTTGCGTGATTTAGCTGATGACCTAGTAGACATTCCATCATAGAGGCAGGAATTGGCTAAATGATCCTGTATGTTGTGCATGAGATTTCCAACCTCCTACCTCCCACACCATAGCACCTCCACCTCCTACACCAGCTACCTCCATGTCTTGCACCATATTACCTGCACCTACCTACACCATCTACCTACATCTCCTACACCCTACTACCTTCACCTCCCACACCAGTTACCTTCACCTCCCACACCAGCTATCTTCACCTCCCACACCAGCTACCTTCACCTCCCACACCAGTTACCTTCACCTCCCACACCAGCTACCTTCACCTCCCACACCAGCTACCTTCACCTCCCACACCAGTTACCTCCACCTCCACACCAGCTACCCATGTCTTGCACCATATTACCTGCACCTACCTACACCATCTACCTACATCTCCTACACCCTACTACCTCCAGCTCCCACACCTTCACCTCCCACACCAGTTACCTTCACCTCCCACACCAGTTACCTTCACCTCCCACACCAGCTACCTTCACCTCCCACACCAGTTACCTCCACCTAGCACACCAGCTACCTCCACTTCCCAATACATAATACCTTCATGTCATAGACCTTATGACCTGCAGCTACTCACTGTACCTTCCCACACCATACTACCTCCATGTCTAACACCATACTACCTGCACCTACCCACACCATACTATTTCCACATCACACAGGGGTAGGCAACCTTCGGCACTCCAGATGTTGTGGTATACATCTCCATAATGCTCTTACAGCCATAATGTTGACAATGCATCAGGTGAGATGTAGTCCACAAGATCTGGAGTTCTGAAAATTGCCTACCCCTGCCATAATACCTTCACATCTTCTCAGCAAAATAAAATGAGCCCATGCTGTGTGCTAAAAAATTGTGGAGCCAGCAATAATTTTATTAGGATGTGGCGGCACTTATCGATTAGTTTCTTACAACCTTCTCTCCATCTCAATCAATTCCATGTTATATAAGTGCAATTCACCATTTTGTGATGAACAAAAAATATGTTTAGCCGAAAAATCGGTCTATATTATTGCTGCCGTTCATCCTTAGCAGTAGGATTGTATTTTTGCAGCGCTGTTGTAGAACACGTCAAAAAAGTTTTATCTTGTTTTTTTTTTTTTACTGAATATCAAATTGTAGTTTTTCCTCCACTTTTTAGTTATTTTTTCAATTCATTTTTCACTTTTCTACAATTTTCTGTGTAGCGAATACACCCCCAAGCGTTACTGCTCCATCCCCTGTCTGTATCCTCTAGTTCTTGGATCATGGAAGTATGTTATTTATAAACCATCACAATTCCCCATCCGGTACATATTTTGGTTAGAGGGAGGAGGGAGTCGAGTAAAACAGATGTCTCCTTTTCCTTGACTTGATGTAAGATGATGCTGTACTTGCATCATATTTCCCATGGATTTTTCTAGAATTCTTCAATCTCACAGCTGGAAGCGGCCGCTTGTGCCCCTGCGCAGACGCAGGACTAAATATTTATGCCAATCTAGCTCACTGTTGAGATACAGGATTAAATGTAATTAAAGATATATACATTAGTGGATTTATATAAATTGCGCAGCACTGACTAATATAGAGCTAAATTGCAAAACTTATCGCCCTGGGAGCCTTTTTGCCCAACCCAATAAATCGTGAAATATACTCCCTTTAATTACCAAAGATCACGGGTGCAAATAAGTTTCTTTGTGCCCCCACTGTCCTTTCAATGCACTTCAATGGATACTCTAAGCACCATAACTACAACGGTGTTTGTGATACCAGGAATCCCCTAGCACCATCCAAAGGTAAACTGTGAAATTGTCTATGTCTCTCAGACAGTGAATAATATGAGTTAACATGATAACACGAGGTATACGTGTAAGTCAGCTCAGATTGGGGGCAGCACTAGCATCCAATGGAGTCAGCTAAGAGTCAAACTGTTAGGGAATTCCAAGCATCCTCTGACACTTACACCCTCTGTCAATATTATCATTCTCATCAATAATCACATTAGACATCCTGACCATCACCTGAAAATCAGATCTCCTCCACACTAAATACAGATACCCACCCAGTCCTAGCCCCTTTATTTCAAAATGTAACACCTTATTTCCTGCAAGTTATCCTCTCGACATAATTCATATTCTCAAAGTCCTCTGCTAGTTAAGGAAAGTAACCCCCACATATAAACATAATACACACACATAACAGAAATAAATACATACAGGGACTGACGCTCACACAGACACTGAACGCAGCCACCCAGAGGTATAAATTCACCTATAAACACAATACACATACACGGTGTAGTGGATGGCACTGGGCTGTACATTGACATATACAGACACATCCACAAATACAGTCACAAATACCCACATACAGACACACATTCACACATACACACCTGTATATCTAATTATTGTTAGACTAAGCAGGACCACTGAAGGGTCTCCTAGGCCCCCAGAAACCATTACTGTAGTATTCTAAATATTTGCAGTTTCTGCCAGGTCTTTTGGCCACCCGGCCACCCGGAGAGATCACTCTGTGTTTATGTTTACCCCCCTGTGTAGGGCCATAGGTTCTGTGACGTTCAGCACGGTGAGCCTGTAATAATGGGGTACTTCATATTAATTATAGTTATCTATCTCTCGTAGCATTTTGAATTCATTTAATTATATCCAGCCACCTTCGTATTGAAGAAAATAGATACATTATCTAAGGAAGGTATGTGGGAGTCAGTCCAGTCCATACAATGCCCAGTCCATATAATGCCCAGTCCATCTAAAGCCCAGTACATATAAAGCCCAGTCCCTATAATGCCCAGTCCCTATAATGCCCAGTCCATATAAAGCCCAGCCCCTATAATGCTCAGTCCCTATAATGCTCAGTCCATATAATGCCCAGTCCCTATAATGCCCAGTCTATATAATACCCAGTCCATATGAAGCCCAGTCCCTAGAATGCTCAGTCCCTAGAATGCCCAGTCCGTATAATGCCCAGTCCATATGAAGCCCAGTCCCTATAATGCTCAGTCCATATAATGCCCAGTCTGTATAATGCCCAGTCCATATGAAACCCAGTCCCTTATAATGTCCAGTCCCTTATAATGTCCAGTCCCTTAAATGTCCAGTCCCTAAAATGCCCAGTCCATATAATGCTCAGTCCATATAATGCTCAGTCCATATGAAGCCCAATCCCTATAATGCTCAGTCCCTATAATGCCCAGTCCATATAATGCCCAGTCCCTATAATGCCCAGTCCCTATAATGCCCAGTCCATATAATGCTCAGTCCATATAAAGCCCAGTCCATATAATGCTCAGTCCGTATAAAGCCCAGTCCCTATAATGCCCAGTCCATATAATGCTCAGTCCGTATAAAGCCCAGTCCCTATAATGCCCAGTCCATATAACGCCTAGTCTATATAATGCGCAGTCCATATAAAGCCCAGTCCATATAATGACCAGTTAACTGTAGCTAAACCTTTAGACACCAAGAGAGGTCGGATGTCTCAGCGAGAGATCTGATTCACAGTGATGGTCAATGTGACGGTGCTACTGACTGTATTAAAGGCCCCAGACTGTGCTGCCCGAGCCTGGATTGGCGTCATGGGAAGTGTAGTTCTGAAACATCTGGGAAAGCACGTCTAGAAATAACCAAGCCAGCAGGAAGTCAGTGGACTCTAATTGTGGAAAATGGCTCATGTTTATACATTGTCCTTCATGGAACTTGTAAGTCATTAGCCCCTGTGTTTGAAATAATTATTAAATTGCTCATAAAGAGATAATATCCAAGGGTTTATTCCGTAAATCATGACATGTCACACGTCATGTGACCTTAAGGGGTTAAACAGTGGTTTCTACTACTCGTATATTCGAAGCATGGGCTTCTCACCAGTGGGGTACCTCAGGGATCTGTACTCGGGCCCATTCTCTTTAATATTTTTATTAGTGATATTGCAGAAGGTCTTGATGGTACAGAATGTCTTTTTGCTGATGATACTAAGATATGTAACAGGGTTGATGTTCCAGGAGGGATAAGCCAAATGGCAAATGGTTTAGGTAAACTAGAAAAATGGTCTGAGTTGTGGCAACTGACATTTAATGTGGATAAGTGCAAGATAATGCATCTTGGACGTAAAAACCCAAGGGCAGAGTACAGAATATTTGATAGAATCCTAACCTCAACATATGAGGAAAGGGATTTAGGGGTGATTATTTCTGATGACTTAAAGGTAGGCAGATAATGTAATAGAGCAGCAGGAAATGCTAGCAGAATGCTTGGTTGTATAGGGAGAGGTATTAGCAGTAGAAAGAGGGAAGTGCTCATGCCATTGTACAGAACACTAGTGAGACCTCACTTGGAGTATTATACACAGTACTGGAGACCGTATCTCCAGAAGAATATTGATACTTTAGAGAGAGTTCAGAGAAGGGCTACTAAACTGGTTCATGGATTGCGGGCTAAAACTTACCAGGAAAGGTTAAAGGATCTTAACATGTACAGGGAGTGCAGAATTATTAGGCAAATGAGTATTTTGACCACATCATCCTCTTTATGCATGTTGTCTTACTCCAAGCTGTATAGGCTCAAAAGCCTACTACCAATTAAGCATATTAGGTGATGTGCATCTCTGTAATGAGAAGGGGTGTGGTCTAATGACATCAACACCCTATATCAGGTGTGCATAATTATTAGGCAACTTCCTTTCCTTTGGCAAAATGGGTCAAAAGAAGGACTTGACAGGCTCAGAAAAGTCAAAAATAGTGAGATATCTTGCAGAGGGATGCAGCACTCTTAAAATTGCAAAGCTTCTGAAGCGTGATCATCGAACAATCAAGCGTTTCATTCAAAATAGTCAACAGGGTCGCAAGAAGCGTGTGGAAAAACCAAGGCGCAAAATAACTGCCCATGAACTGAGAAAAGTCAAGCGTGCAGCTGCCACGATGCCACTTGCCACCAGTTTGGCCATATTTCAGAGCTGCAACATCACTGGAGTGCCCAAAAGCACAAGGTGTGCAATACTCAGAGACATGGCCAAGGTAAGAAAGGCTGAAAGACGACCACCACTGAACAAGACACACAAGCTGAAACGTCAAGACTGGGCCAAGAAATATCTCAAGACTGATTTTTCAAAGGTTTTATGGACTGATGAAATGAGAGTGAGTCTTGATGGGCCAGATGGATGGGCCCGTGGCTGGATTGGTAAAGGGCAGAGAGCTCCAGTCCGACTCAGACGCCAGCAAGGTGGAGGTGGAGTACTGGTTTGGGCTGGTATCATCAAAGATGAGCTTGTGGGGCCTTTTCGGGTTGAGGATGGAGTCAAGCTCAACTCCCAGTCCTACTGCCAGTTCCTGGAAGACACCTTCTTCAAGCAGTGGTACAGGAAGAAGTCTGCATCCTTCAAGAAAAACATGATTTTCATGCAGGACAATGCTCCATCACACGCGTCCAAGTACTCCACAGTGTGGCTGGCAAGAAAGGGTATAAAAGAAGAAAATCTAATGACATGGCCTCCTTGTTCACCTGATCTGAACCCCATTGAGAACCTGTGGTCCATCATCAAATGTGAGATTTACAAGGAGGGAAAACAGTACACCTCTCTGAACAGTGTCTGGGAGGCTGTGGTTGCTGCTGCACGCAATGTTGATGGTGAACAGATCAAAACACTGACAGAATCCATGGATGGCAGGCTTTTGAGTGTCCTTGCAAAGAAAGGTGGCTATATTGGTCACTGATTTGTTTTTGTTTTGTTTTTGAATGTCAGAAATGTATATTTGTGAATGTTGAGATGTTATATTGGTTTCACTGGTAATAATAAATAATTGAAATGGGTATATATTTGTTTTTTGTTAAGTTGCCTAATAATTATGCACAGTAATAGTCACCTGCACACACAGATATCCCCCTAACATAGCTAAAACTAAAAACAAACTAAAAACTACTTCCAAAAATATTCAGCTTTGATATTAATGAGTTTTTTGGGTTCATTGAGAACATGGTTGTTGTTCAATAATAAAATTAATCCAACTTGCCTAATAATTCTGCACTCCCTGTATAGCTTGGAGGAAAGACGAGATGGGGGGATATGATAGAAACATTTAAATACATAAAGGGAATCAACACAGTAAAGGAGGAGACTATATTTAAAAGAAGAAAAACTACCACAACAAGAGGACATAGTCTTAAATTAGAAGGGGAAAGGTTTAAAAATAATTTCAGGAAGTATTATTTTATTGATAGGGTAGTGGATGCATTGAATAGCCTTCCAGCTGAAGTGGCAGAGGTTAACACAGTGAGGTAGTTTAAGCATGCGTGGGATAGGCATAAGGCTATCCTAAATGTAAAGTCTTGGCCTGCAGTTGTGGGAGGGACATGTTCCCTACTTAAACCCCCTACTCACCTTCCTCCGTCCCGTACGTATTTTTAGCGATTCGCATGTCGCTATTTCCAGTCGCCATCTGCTCCCTCGTGGTTCTCCTTACCTGACCTGCCGTTTTCCATCACCGGTTTCTTCCCGTCCATGGTCTTTTTCTGAGCATATGCTCCGTGGGTCTCCTGTAATTTCCCCCCTCTGGGCGGGGGCTGGATACCCCCTCTCCCTTCAGATGCTGTAACTGTCTCTTTACGTGCTCAGATTCAGCAGGGGGTATTGACAGCAAGTCCTGCTTAACTGGCCGTGGAGGGGGTCCTTTGCTGTGCAATTGTGGTTGCGTGTCAGGCAGGGGCATGGTTTCGGTGAATGCTGCTCTTTATTTCCCGTTTCATGTAGTTTCGGTCCACGGGCTAACTTCGCTGCAGAGCGGGGGATGGGTAGTTGGTTTGGAGCTCTGCCTCTCGTCCTCCACGTCGCCCCCTTTCAGCCCTGGCTCTTGAAGAGTCAGCCCGGCTACGACGCTGCTCACCTCCGCTGGCGGCTAAGCTTGCTGCACGTCTCGTGCAACGCTTTTCATACACAGCTTCACTCGCTAACATGCACCCATGTGGCCGCCCTGCTCATGTATTTTAACTCTTTTTATGTCCCATTGTTGTATTTTCCCCCTTTAGGGAAAAAAAATAAAAAAATAAATTGATATACTATTTTTGTGTAATTTTAATAATAATATTATGTACTAATAATAAATACATTAAAAAAATACACACTTCATTTTATTAGATTAGAATCATTGTAGCTAAATACACTGATGGTTTCCATGTTTTCCTTTAAATTCTGGATGGCTGTTTCCTTATTGTTCTATATAAACAGAGCCTCCAATGTTGTGCTCATTGGGATTGTGTACGACATGTTAGTGGGCGCTTAGCTGCACAGCGACGCCTGTATCTCGCTCTCTTTACTGTATGGTCACTGTCAGTTCAATGAGCTGCTCGCTTGTTCTCCGCCATTGTCCTGCACTTACTTAAACAGTTGTCACTGTATTGCCTTCCAACACCTATAAACTGTCACCCTCAAGCCAGACTTTGCAAGTTGGAATTAAAAAAAAAAGTGCTGAGGGTGAGGAGGAGGTTAGGACACATTAGCTAATTTGAGAAATTAAAATATAATTTCTCCCATTATAGTTTCCTTGCGCTGTCGGTACCCCATGGGTTCTACACGCGTTTGCGCATTCTTTTTCATACTTGCGTACTCCATACAGCCTGATCACCTGATCACCCGAGCTCTCTGGCTAGCTCTGGTTCTAATCGCGCTGTGGAGTTTCGGCTACTCCTACCTTCTTTTCGGTTCCTGGGCGCTTCCTCGCTTCGCTGCGGTTCTCGCGAGTCAACTTATTCCCCCCCGGCAGCCTTCCGGTCAGCTGTACTCTCAGTGTCTGTCCGCCTCCACAGGTAACGCTGTTGCTGGAGGGGGCCACGAGTTCGCTCTTCTCCGTTGTTTGCCCCCCTGGTTGTCTTTGTTGCTGTCGTCTATGTGGCGGTGTCGGATGGTAGTTTAGGGCAACTGGCACCTGCCGCTTTGTCTAGATTCAAACTGGACTTCCTGCACCTTTTTTTCATACGATCGGTCCTGTGCCTCTTCTACTCTTTCCAACGTGCTCTGCCTACGGCCTCTCGCGTAGCCGCTACCATTCCCGGCATTTCGGGGACTGATTGCAGGCTGCCATCCTCATGAGCTCGTGATTATCATCTTTCATGTCTGGCTCTCTTTTTTTCTAGCACTCGCGGTGCATGTGTTAGGACCTTTCTTCCCCTTTGAGACTCCTTTCTCACATATCCTGTTATTGTCTCTGTTGATATGTTGTCTGCGATTGATTTTCACTTCTTTTGCCACCTCTTAGTTGCATCAACTCTACTTATCCAGTCTACAACTTCACATGTTGTACAGGTTTTATTCACACGCAGTTTCATCTCCTCATACCAGATTGTTACCAC